CCTAAAGCAAAGATGAATCAAGAATAGGGTAAAGATCTATTTTGGTACCTGAGATTTAAGGTTCAATTTGAATTTTCAGTTCAAATTGATATATGAATTTGACCTTTTTTTTCAAAATTTAAATTAGCTTATGGTTTTTAACCAATTTGAACCAATGAACAAAATTCATGAACCGGATTTCAACCAAAAAGTAAATTAGTTAAACCAAAATCGTTTAGGGTAAACTATGTATTTAGTCACCTAAATATCACTTGGGTTCTATTTTGGTCACCCGAATATTTCTTTCCCGAATCATCACTAACCTTACATTTTTGTCATCCGACGTTAAAAATTTAACGATGATGCTGACGTGTCACCATAAGGCAATACAACATCATTGAAAAACTACAAAAAACATCATTTGAGCAATTCTATTTTTTTTTTAAAAGTAGATGACCAAAATGTAACATTAATGATGATTTTGAAAAGAAATAGTTAAGTGACTAAAATGAAACCAAAGTGATAGTTGGGTGACTAAATATATAGTTTAGTCAAATACTAAATTTAATCTTAAAGCCAAATTAAATTTAGGGTTAACTACATGATTGATCACTTATCTTTGAGCTTTGTCCACTTTTGGTCACTGATTTCAAAGTACATAAGATATGGTCACTTACGTTTTTATTTAAACAAGATTTGGTCACCCGAGCTAACTGTCGTTAACAACAGTTAAATATTTTGATATATTCACATATTTGGTGCTTTTTAGTTACATATTCTCTCAATTTAGTCATACTTTTAATAAATTAAAATAAATTATTTATTTTAAAATGAAAATAAAATATTTTAAATTAATTGAATAGTAAAATATATTTAATAAGCTAATATAAAAATATTTAATAAGTTAATATATATATATACATACATAATTATGTATATATTTTTAAGAAAATATAAAAATATATTTAAAAAAGGTTATATAAAAAAATTCTAAAATTCTAAAATTTGAAATTCTATAATATATATAATCCGCACATAAAGTTTAAAAATTCAAATTACATACTTGAAATAAAATTTATTAAAATTTAAAATAAAGAAATATAATTAAATTTTAAATGTTTTGAAGTTAATAAATATTTAAAAAATAATTTAGAACGTTAATGTGAAATAATTTAAGAAATTGTGAATTTAGAATGTTATGGTGTCAAAATTTAAGAAATTAAGATTTTAGAATGTTAGAGTGAAATAATTTGAGGATTATGAATAAAAATTTAATAAAAATAAAAATAAAAAATATATAATAAATTGGGTATCGGGTCGGAGGGTACACGATTAACCGACATTTTGTGACCCATGCTCGACCCATAAACCTATTAGGGTACCCGACCAGAAAAATTGGTATTTTTATTATAAATACCCTATATTTTTTTAACCGGGTCAGCTCAATTAGGTATGGTATTTTTAAACAACCTTATTAGCACGACATGTGGTATCGTTCGATTGGAGGATTAAATTTATTTTAATTTATTAAAAGTATGACTAAATTAAGAGAATATGTAATAACAATGACCAAATGTGTGATTATATAAAAAATATTTAACTGTTGTTAACGGCAGTTAACTCAGGGTGATCACATCTTTATTAAATAAAAACGAAAGTGTCCATAACTTAATTAAATAAAAATAAAAGTGTCTATATCTTATGTTTTTTAAAATCAATAATCAAAAGTGGACAAAACATAAAGATAAGTTACCATCCATGGCTTAAATTTAAAAAACATGGTATGATTGCCAAGCAGCCAGCAAGACTATTTTAGTAAAAGGGGGTCCAAAAACAAATCCTAAATAAACATAGCAAACGACGTGGGTGCGTGCCTATCATGTTTCTAAGAATCCATGGAAGGGAAAAAGAACTAAAGTAGCGTTGTCTAAAGACGAAATTCAAAGTACGATGGGAGTAATAATCATATCTTAGCTTCCCAAAACATTGTTTATCTTTGTCTTTTAGATGTTTTGGTTTCCCTAATCATTCTCACATGTTTAATCTTTACACATAAGCAAAGAGAGGACAACCCGTATTTATCCTTTATTTTATTGTAAATAAACCATTTGATTATTTGTAAGGGATGCGTTTATAGCGTATGTCGCACACCGCAACGTACCATTAAAACGACGTATCAAAACATATTACAAGTAAATTTGTCTTATTATGTAAATATTAGAAAGTATAATAATTTATTTAAAATTAATTTTACTTTTAATAGAATTATAATTAGATTATATTTTTTTTATTAAAATAATAATAATAATTAATTTAAGTAATTTAATTTGTTTAGAATTAGGATTTTTAAGTTATATAAATCTAGAACCGGCCATCACCATCGATCACCGCCGCCGACCACCTTATCTCGCCGGAAAATAATCTACTACACCATCCGGCGTTGCCGGAGACTTAAATCAAAAGGAAACCTATATTGTAAACAAAACATAACAGACATGAAAATGATCACACAAGCAAAAGCAAGGAGAATGACATAAGATGGTGAGTAAATAACTTGGAATTGCTATGAATAATGCAAAAAAAAAAAAAATACTAAATCAAGAATTAAACTAATCCCAAAACTGATAAGGGATTGAAGAAAGGAAGTTGAGAGGAGAGGGAAGAAGGAAGTGAAAGCTGCTTTAATGGCGGATGAAGGCTTGACCATGAAAGCCATGGAAAAGTCTAAAGAATAATTCGTATGATACTACTAACTTAGGAATTTAATTAAAATGTTTTTTAGCTATTTAGAATATAAACCATAATATCGGTATCGAACAAGCAATTAGCCCTGTATATATCATACAAATATGCATAATTTAAATAGAATTAAGATAAATAACATGACAGCAACAATTTAGCTATTGCATCAAAAGACCTGCTTCCACCAACAAATTTGATGGGTTCATTTGAAATGCCACTGTTCTCATGCCATCATCTAAATTTTAATTACCATATAAACGTCTGTACATTTCCCCTTCCTTTTCTCTTTTATTTCTAATTTATAGAATCATATTTTATAAAGAGGTAGAAAGACGTTTGAGATCAGGCCTAAAATTTAATATTTATCAAAATTTTATTTTTACGAATTTTTTAAACGTTTATATCATAGATTCGATTGACTTATAATATCTCATAAAATATCCAATCATAGATCTAAGGAATTTCTTTCATTTTATAGTCATAGTTTTATTTAAGTTAAATATATACTTTGGCATTACTGAACAATTGTCTATGCTAGTTCAAACGGTTGAGCACTCCTCCTTACCCCTAATTGACCTGGGTTCCCCTTGGGAGTGTATGTGTAGTTTTGTTTCTAATAAGGTGAATAAAACTAAATAATAATATAAAATTTTAAAATAATAAAATAAATGTCATGTCAACTCTGCACAGATACTAAAATAAAACAAAAACTAAATTTTATATATGATTTTGAAAAAATTAAAAGTTTAAATACTAAAATAAAATAAAATAAAACTGATAGTTTAGGTACTAAATAAGTAGTTTACCCAGAAATACAAAGAATTGATTCAGGACACATTTGAAAAGTCACATAATAAGTGTAATTACATCGATGCAATATGTTTGACCAACCATACCGTTATAACATGTGTGTCTTATTGGTTTGAATGTCACCAGAAACCCTCCTCGATTACTTACACTCTTTAATTATCAAAGGTGAAAATTGGAAAAATATTAAATATTAATTGTGGAAAATTCTATAGCGTTTGACGAACACTGATGAACACCACTAACGATGAGTACTATTAATTTAATTTATAAAATTTTAAATTTTAACCTACTCAACGTGTAATTATAAATTAATTAAAATTTTAAAAGTAAATTATTTAAAATTAAAGGATAAACTATATTAGTGACCACCTAATTATTGCCCCTTTTCATTTTGATCACCATTTTTTGAATTTTGTCAATAAAGTCACTCAACTATTTAAATGCATTCAATTAAGTCATTTGTTGTTAACGGAAAAGCTGATGTGATATTTAAAATATTTGATATAATTACACATTTGATCATTGTTACTTTTATATCCTATCAATTTGGTCCTAATTTTAATAAATTAAAATGAACTCATCCTAAATTCAATTGGTTGTAAAATTGCTTGTTTGCAATTGTCGTAAAATAAATTTTCCTCTAACATTTAATCAATTGTCGTAAAATCAATTCGCTGGTAAATTTGTTTACAATTGCTCATAAATTGTCGTTAAGTTCCCTATGGTACTTAACTCATTCACAAGCATCTACATAAAATTCATCATCTTATCGATGTGGGCCATATCAATGCAATACAACAATATTTTAAGTTAAGAATTTGGATATGAGAATTTAAAATTTAAGAATTCTAATTTCAAGATTTAGATATTTAGAAGATTTCAACTTGAAAAATAGAGGTTTTGATTCTTTTAAAAAGATTTTAAAATTTTGATATTTTTTTAAAAATTATATATTTTATTTGAAAACTAACGACAAATGGCTTAATTGAATACATTTAAGTAGTTGAGTGACTTGATTGACAAAATTTCAAAATTGTTGGTTAAAATGAAAAGGGAAATAGTTAGGTGATTAGTGGTATAATTTACCCTTTAATTTTAAATAATTTACTTTTAAAATTTTAACTAATTTATAATTATATATTAAATCTATTAAAATTTAAAATTTTATAAATTAATTGAATGATACTCATTGTTAGCGGTGCTCGTCGTCGCTCGTGAAATGCATAAGAATCATCCATTAATTGTCAAATATTAATCATCAACTATTTAACTTAAAATCATAGACATCATTAAACGAAATCAATTAGCTATAATTAACTTCTTACTTTAATAAATTAATTTTCAATGAACTAAAAATAAAAACACAAGAAAAATGTTAAAATTAGTCCACCATTTTTTCTAACAATAAAGCTCCCTCATAACCGGGAGGCTCGGAACCAGGCTGGGTGTATAGCTTTTCCCCCTTCAATATTTGAGGGAAACCGAACTGTGAGAAAAAAAATAAAAACAGAGAAGACAGATAGAGGAAAATGAGAGAAAGTGAAAGAAAGTGAGAGAAAATCTTTTAAACCCTCCCAATTTCTCTCTATCTGTTTCTCTTGATCGATAGATTCAATGCCAATTCTAATAAAAATAGAAAAAAACAGGAACAAAAAGAAGGAAACAACAATAAGAACATAGTTTTTTTTGGTTCTCTGTTTTCTTTTTATTATTATGCTCTGTTTTATGACAGAGCTTTTTCATCATACAAGAGGTTCAAATTATCTTTTTGGGGGTTTTTCGAGATTTGGGTTTTGATGTTAAATTTAGAGAGAATTGAATTTTGAATTGAGCTTGTAAAATCTGTAGTATTTTTGTTGGTATTCGAAAGCTGTTTTTGGTTGAAATGGCAACAGGGTCGAATTTACAAGGCTCTCTAAAATCGGTTTTCGAAGACGTTCTTCAAGAGAAAAGAGGTCGAACAAGCGACGTTAATTTGGATTCGAGAAAATTTGACGAAGCTTGTAATAATCTAACTTCTTTTTCCCCTTCTGCTCTATTTATCATTGAATGATCAATGGTTTTCTTTAATCTGCATTTTTCTCGCATGATTAGGAGTCTTTTGCATTTATTCTTTTTTTTATTTTATCAAATTTAAGTTTCAGATTTTATGAATATTATGTTAAGAGATTCAATCATAAAATATGTATCTCTGTAATTTTTAATCGATTAAAGCGATCTCCAAACAAATGGGAAATATGATTTGCTGAAAATATGCTCTAAAACTATCGTCATTGTTATATTTTCGAAGCTTTAAGAAGAAATGAAGCTGCTGGGTGGCTGAGAAAAATACTTGGTGTTGTTGGGGGCAAAGATTTACCAGCTGAGCCTTCGGAGGAAGAATTTAGGTACGCATTGCGAAGTGGGATAATCCTTTGCAATGCTCTTAACAAGATCAAACCGGGATCAGTGCCAAAGGTCTGTTTCAGCAACAATTTTCCCAGAAAATTTTGCATTTTCTCGGTTGATTTTCCTACCCATTTTTAAAAATTCTAAATGATAGGTAGTGGAAGGACCTTGCGATTCTGTTCCTGATGGAGCTGCTTTATCAGCCTTTCTATACTTTGAAAATGTGAGAAACTTCCTTGTAGCTATTGAGGAAATAGGGATTCCCACTTTTGAGGCCTCTGATTTAGAACAGGTTAGTATATTACTTAACATTCTTCATTTCAATTTCTCTCCGATAGCTATTCAGGAAGGATGCATGATTTTTATGAAAGTACCAAAGATTTAATGTTAGGGGAGACAATTTATAAAATTCTAGGACAAAAATAAATTATCAATAGAAAATACAAAGTCCGGGTAAGATAGTCAAACGAATGTTTCTTGATTGATTTTTTATTTTCCCAGGGTGGGAAGTCTTCAAGGCTTGTGAACTGTGTTCTAGCATTGAAGTCTTACAGTGAATGGAAACAAAATGGAGGAATTGGTTCATGGAAATACTATGCAAATGCCAAACCCTCATGTTTTGGGGCACGAAAAACCAGTGAACCAGTTATGAATTCCGTTCCAACGACCCTTCCTTGTGACTTGTCTAGTGAGCAATCAGAGTCCATTGAAGAAGTTAGTGAGCTTTCTTTTTAATTTTCATGCTACATGTTTATTTCATCAAACATCTAATCTGATATCTCCTTTTCATTGTTATCTTCAGGGCTCTGCAAGTTCTTTTGGTGTGCTAGTTCGTGCAGCTCTTTCGGATAAGAGGCAAGAAGAAATTCCAATGGTAAGATCCTTCTGCTAGTACAAAAATTTCCTCGATCAATTCACTTTTTTTGGGATCGAATCGAGGTCTTGGGAAATGTCGAGTTATTCAACAGCTTACTAGGAAAATTTTTGTTGCTGTAAAACTCTCCTGATAGATTGTGGAAACTATGATCAGTAAAGTCTCGGAGGAGTTCGACCGTCGCTTGGCAACCTACAGTGAACTTGTAAGAAACTTCAGTTTTTCATAACTCTCAAAACTTCAATGATTTATTTGTGTTTAGTGTTATCTCAAATAAACATGTTTTTTTGTAATTTGACAGATTAAAATTAGTGCAAAAGCAAAGGAAGAATCTGTAACTGATAACTCTATTTCACGAACAGTTTCATTTGATGAAAAGGTAGGCGGAATGTTTATCAGTAGCTTTTGATTATTGCTTCATGTGATTATCAAGTACATGTTTTTGAATCATTTAAATAATGTGATGGTGAAGGCCGGAGAAGTTGAAGTAAAGGCATCAGCTGAAGAAACGGTGAAGGCCGGAGTAGTTGAAGTAAAGGCATCTGTTGAAGAAACGGTGAAGGCCGGAGTAGTTGAAGTAAAGGCATCAGCTGAAGAAATGGTTAAAGATGACGAATCATCATCCATAGGGTCGGAGAGAAAGGAAACTTGCGAAGATGAATCATCATCAATAGGACCGGAGAGAAAGGAAACATGCGATGACAAGTCCGATACGAATGAAGAATTGGTACAATATGTTTTGAAACAGCAGGAATTGGTTGAGCAACAACGACGATTTATTGAGGTAATCAGCAGTTAGCATCGATTTGAGTAACAAAATTCGTATGATCTTCCATGGGGATGCTGCAGTTCATGTATTTGTGCCTGTAGGAACTAAAGCATTGTCTTTACTCAACAAAAGCTGGAGTGCAAGCTCTGCAGGTGACATACCAGGAAGAGGCCTTTAATCTTGGTATAAACTTAAAGTCGATTTCTTGGATGTTTTTTCGTGTTCTTGAAATGAAAACGTGATATTGTCTCATTCTAGCTTCGTTTAATAGGTAAACACTTGGTTAGTCTTGCTAATGCGGCTTCGGGATATCAGAGAGTACTCGAAGAAAACCGGAAGTTATACAACCAAGTGCAGGACCTGAAAGGTAGCAGCCTTAAACAGTTGAAATAGTCTGAATGAGAGAAATTGTCAGATTCAAATGAAAATATCAATTGCATTTGTTGGAAAACCATGTTCCAGGGAATATAAGAGTGTACTGCCGAATAAGGCCGATGGTTCCCGGACAATCGAACACTTTGAGTTCCATAGATCACATTGATGAAAGAACTGTAACAATTCTTACACATTCGAAAAATGGAAAAGAGGCAAGGAAATCATTTACCTTTAACAAAATATTCGGCCCATCTGTAACACAAGGTTAGAGATTATAAACAGAGTTGTTTCCTCTATGATTTTGCATCTATCCATTTCGATCTTCCCATGCTTGTAAGACTTTCCTGACATCAACTCGTTCCCTGCAGCCGAGGTTTTCTCGGATACCCAGCCTTTGATTCGGTCTGTTCTCGATGGCTACAATGTGTGTATATTTGCTTATGGACAAACAGGATCAGGGAAGACACACACCATGGTAAGAAATGCAGCATCTCTTCATTGCAATGATAATATATGTTAATCGGACTAAGGATCGAGTGTCAGAGACTGTGTATATTCAATATGTTTGACATGAATACCATACTGAAAATTAAGTTCAGTGATACATACTGTATTGTAGCCTGTCAAAGATTTATGCTAAGTCATCCCATTGATGAATCCAGACAGGGCCTAAGGAGCTCACCGAAGAAGGCTTAGGCGTAAACTACAGGGCATTGAGTGATCTATTTCATCTTTCAAACCAGAGGAAAGACACCATTTCTTATGAGATTTCAGTGCAAATGCTTGAAATTTATAATGAGCAAGTCAAGGATCTCCTTTCAACTGATAGTGGAAATAAGAGATATCCTTTATATTCAGACTCATCAATCTTGTTTATTGTGATTCATGTTCTTTTTCTTTAAATAATTTTCTTTAACTTCTACGCACATTAGAAATCCGAAACAGCTCACAAAATGGGATTAATGTACCCGATGCAAACCTTGTTCACGTATCATCACCGTCCGACGTCATAAATTTGATGGACCTTGGGCATAAAAACCGTTCAGTTTGCTCCACAGCATTAAATGACCGGAGTAGTCGATCTCACAGGTACTGCTGACAGTCTAAAACATTTATAGTTATGTTCCGAAACATATGCTGCTAAGTTTCTAATTGTCTTTAAAACTGCAGCTGCTTGACGGTTCATGTTCAGGGGAAGAACCTCACTTCGGGAAACATTCTTCGTGGCTCGATGCATCTGGTCGACCTTGCAGGAAGCGAAAGGGTGGACAAATCCGAGGTGACAGGGGATAGTTTAAAAGAAGCACAACACATTAACAAGTCTCTTTCGGCTTTAGGAGATGTGATCTCTTCTCTTGCATCAAGAAGTTCACATGTTCCTTACAGGAACAGTAAACTTACTCAATTGCTCCAAGATTCACTTGGTAAAAAGATTATCCGAAAACTTTCTAACCGAAAAACAGTAATGTATTTGTAATTGCTGAATCATGCTATTGGAATCAATTTATCAGGAGGACAAGCCAAGACACTGATGTTTGTTCACATTGCTCCCGAGTACGAAGCTCTTGGAGAAACTCTTAGTACACTTAAATTTGCGGAAAGGGTTGCCACAGTCGAGCTTGGTGCCGCTAAGGTGAACAAAGACGGTGGAGAAGTGAAAGAGCTTAAAGAACAGGTCTTTTTGGCATTTTAACTTCAAAGTGTTGCATGGCCGCCTATTGCAGCCAAACCTGTACTTATATTTACTCGTTCACTATTTTGCGAACATTCTCATTTACCATTTTTCTCTCAACTGTTTTCAGATAGCTTATCTCAAAGTAGCCTTAGCTAGAAAGGAAGGAGATCACGAGAACCTGCAACATACTCAATCCCTTAGTCCGGAACAAAATAGACCAAACATTGGATTATCCACTTCTCATCCTAAATGGAAGAGTTCAAGTGATCTATCTTGCATGTCTGCAACCACTGAGGTATAGTTCAAGTGCCAAAATTGGTACAAATTTTCAGTTTTGAAAGTGTTTTACTATAGGTCCTTTTATGTTTGTTTAAGATTTGCCTAACATGATATATAAATCTGCGTCTGCTGATTCAGTATGAGTCTTCATCAGCATCTAGAAGAGACAGTTTGGATACTCGAGAGATGTTACCGAATCCATCTAGAAGAGACAGTTTGGAGACTCGAGAGATGTTACCGAATCCACCTAGAAGAGACAGTTTGGAGACTCGAGAGATGTTAGCAAATCCACCTAGAAGAGACAGTTTGGAGACTCGAGAGATGTTAGCGAATCCATCGCATTGGACACCTCTTGGAAGTCCGAATGATTCGAGTGTTTCAAGAGATGACGATATAGATTCGGAAGCGTCTGGTGATTGGGTAGATAAAATCATGGTGAACAAGCTTGACAACCTAAAGAAGGACAAAAATCCATCCGCAAAGCCAAGTAAAGGAGTAAGCAATGGCAAAAAACTGACTGAGAAGCCCCATCAGAGTCAACTCCCTGAGCCTACAATGATACACCCTGAACGGACTCGGTCTGAAGTAAACTGCAATGATGAATCCGATCGCGAAACAGTAACCAGTGACTGTTTGGAAACGGACTCATTTTCATCCGGTATTCCTAAAATCAGTGGTATTCCAACCATGTTGGCATCTAAACCAAAGAAACAGCAACCCAAGCCAGCTAAGACAACAGAAATCAGGTAAACTTTCATGCTAGAAACTGAATGCCTTATTATTTTACTGCAAACTTCAACTTGGTTTCTACTACATTTAGGCCTTGATTTTTCATTTTTTTTTGCTTCCATCAGGACCTCAATTCCATCACTAATACCTGCGCCATCAACTCGGAAATCTTCCACTGGAGTTAATCCGAGTCCGCAAAAGGGAAAGAGAAAAACTGGAATTAACAAGTGATTTAAACTGAATAAGGATTGTTTCTTCTTCTTCTTCTGTGTGCTATATCACTTTTCTTATGTGTCTATCGGTTAGCTGCATTGACAAGGAGAGGTTCACATCTATGAAATTAATGGCAAAAATTCCCAATGTTTAGTAGTGGTAAAGTCATTCATATAAACCCCAAAATGATGATCCATTTTCTTGATTTGTATTCGGCTCAAAGGAGTGTGGATTTTGGGAATTCTTTGCCTTTTATTTTCTCCACCCCACATTCAAACTGTACTTTATTGTAGAATTGTGGAGGAATTGTATTATACTCAAGTACCTCTTTTTCTTCTGGCATTGATCAAATCATTGAAGATTGAAGAAGTTATGCTTGATGAGCTTACCTGAACTGACGGGTTACAACTGCAGGAGTGGAACTGATTTTCATTTTATTGTATATCGACGTATATTTTAATATGAATATAAAAAATATAATATTTTAAGTTTTGGATAAGTTTTACGACCAAATATAACTGCTCAAACTTAAATCTTTTAAGGAGAATAACATTTACTTTTATCATTAAGATGATTTGAAAAGTCCAAGCTCTACAAAAATTAATTCTCTAAAAAAATACTTTTATTTTTATGTCCCAATATGTATTTATGTGAAAATTGAATACCGAATACTGAAAAATAAGAAAAATTATAAGGACTCATCCTCTCTCATTCAAGTACAAAGGAATACACAAGCAAGCAATGAAACCAATGAAATAAAAAGTAAAAAATTGCATTTATTATGGAAAACAAATAAAATCTAAAATTAGAATTTAAAAAATGTAAAAAGTCCAAAAAGTTGATATATTTCTTTTAATAATTTATCCAAGAAAAGAGAGACCCAATGCAAAATAAATTAATTATGAAAGGAAGATTATTCTTCCAAAGTTTTGGTTTCGAATAACTACGTTTGTACGGTATGTGTTGTTAATACTCAATAGATTAAAAAAGTTATGAAAAAAGAGTATTAAAAAGGGTAAACTATTAAATAGTCCCCAAACTTTTAGGATGCTTGCATTTCGGTCACTCAACTTTTAAAACTTGCAATACAATCATTGAACTTTTAATTCGTTTTCCGTAAACACTTCAAGCAAAATAAAGAGTCGGAGCAACATAAGTCAGATACTGACCAAAATTATATCCGCCACAAATTCGAACTAGAATAGCTGCCATGGTATGATGATTTATTTTTCTTACAACTTTTTTGATTAAGTCTTCATAGGATCAAATCCTGTCAAAGGAGCATTTGTGTTAACCATTTACCGGTGTGGCTCTACTTCTCTTGAACTTGACTTTAGCTGAAATATTTTTTGAAAGGAGAATCTAATTCAGGTTTACCCTATGTACATTTAGAAACTAAGCATAGGATTGTCCCTCTGGCATTGTCACTGTGTCGTGCTATTGAGAACCACGATGAACTGAATGTTAGGTTAAGCTTGCTGGGATTGGGACAGTATAGTCTCCTAGACTTTCCTTTTCCAATCTTTTACGTATGTTGTCTCAACTAACTCTGAAGTATGAACTTGCATTCTTTCCATCTTTCCATGGCGTCTCTAGATTTTAGTTTAAAGGTCGCTGGTAGAAAATAAACAAATAAAAATTTAAATAAATAAATAAATAAATATATATAACCTAGGTTAATATGAACTCTCATGTTAGTATCATGATCTGTTATGTTAGTATCGTAAATTGTCATGTCAGTACCATTGATCAAAGGATCAAATTGATTTCTCCCCCCCCCCCTCAATTCAGTCACAGTAGGTGTAAAATAAATTCATAGGCCACATTGATTTTAAAAGAAAAAAGTTTGAGGACCTCTGGTACTATTAAACCGAAAAAGGATGAGCACTCGAATTTATTTCTAGAGTTTACCGCACCACTTTTCCTCAAATCCTAAATTGATCCTCAAACATGTTCTAATTTTATATCAAATTATGACCACTATTTTAAAGTAGCCCCTAAATTTTTGAACATTCCAATTTTATTTTCAAACTATCAGTATATGCTAATCGCATCCGTGTTATAAAATTTTTTAACGACTATATAAACCTGGATGTAATAATAGGATGAGGCATAAACGATAATTATATTCTGTTTAAATAAAATAATATTGAACTTTGAAATGCAGAAAGAATTATAAACAAATCGAAAGAACACAAATAATTCAAATAATGATTTTGGAGGACGTGATGTAACATTAATTATCATATGTATCATATTATGTTAAGAAAATTTTACATTACTCGACGAGCAGCGATGAGCATCACTAATGACGAGTATCATTAATTTAATTTATAAAATTTTAAATTCTAAAAGACTCAACTTATAATTATAAATTGGTTAAAAATTTAAAAATAAATTATTTAAAATAAAAAAATTTGCTGACCCTTATTCTCATATGTAATGGGGTAAGAGGGAGGTAGGATAGTAGGTTGCCCCCAACACGAGGTTGAGAGCAGTTTCCGTGAGAGACCTCCAAATTATGAAATGCCCTCCGTGGGACTCGATCCCACGACCTTAAGGTTAAGAACCTTGCGCTCTACCAATTGATCTGGATGATCATTTAAAAAAAAAGGATAAACTATACCAGTGATCACCTAACTATTGCCCCTTTTCATTATGACTAATATTTTTGAAATTTTGTCAATTAGGTTACTCAACTATTTAAATGCATTCAATTAAGTCACTTGTCGTTAATATGTAATGGAGAAGCTGATGTGGTAGTTAAAATATTTGGTATAATTACATATTTGATTACTTTTACTTTATATATTGTATCAATTTGGTCCTAATTTTAATAAATTAAAATAAATTTAACCCTCAAATCAAATGGTGGCATGTGTAATGACATGTGTCACAATCTGATTGGACGATTGTCGTTTGTTTCCTGTTAATATTCCGCTTCACCGGAGTAATAACAATATTGTTTTCGTTTGTGGTGATGGATTTGATGAAGATCGTGACGATGGCCGCGAAATTGTTCTGTCGCATTTGATATTGGGGGGAATCGCAACGAAAATGACTTTTTTTCCTCCAGTTCCAATTTGTCTTGACTAATTTGGACCGATCAGGTCGCACACCTGATTTTGGTGGGTGAGTCTCCCAGTGGGGATTTTCTGCATATACAAGGACTCGAACCTGAGACATTGTTTAAGCGTTATTAAGTTGTTTACTACTTGAACCAACAATGTTGGTGAATTAAAGAAGTTTGATTGGATTTTTGGAAGCATAAAAATGGTGAAATCATTTTTATTTTTTATTTCTTTTGGAATTCTTTGGTTTCATCGTTCCAGAATTTTAGAAATGATATGGGAGATATGTTTATATAATTATTTTATTTCAACGATTACAAAGTAATATCGATTATTTTTTTCAATAATGAAAAATATAGACATATGACAGATTTTGCATAGATAATTGCTCAAATTCAGATTTTTCAAAAAGGATAACAAACTCAATTGCTCGAATTTAAATCATATAAAGAATAATAATCTCTTACATCACTAAAACTATTTAATTGATTCATAATAAATGTTTCTTTTACCTTTAATACTGGTTAGGTTTTATTATTATCATAGTTGGCATCATTACTTTTGTAATGATTCCTTTCTGATTATGATTGATTGTAATAGCTTAAAGTTAGGCCATAGATTTGTTGTGGCCAACTTTTCTACTACGACGACGAACACGCATGTTTTACGGATTTAAATTATGAAACATTTTAGGGGATACATTCAATTATTAAACTTTTTAAAAATTTAAATTAAATTTATATCTATACAATGTTTAAAAGATTAAATTGAATTTAGATATTACACTCAAACCAAACGAGGGTCATGGTCATGAGGACTCTACCGGCATTAGTTAGATTTGAATTAGTAGAAAAATAATGTCAAATTCAACATCAACATACCATCCTTAAAGAAACATATTCTTGTGAAGTTTCAAGAAAAGGATGGGAATTTACTACACATAAAAGAAATGTCCAAAATGGGAAATGTTCATATGCGGTTGTTTTAATAAACGGCTAAAAAAGATGTTATCAATTTTGTTATTGTTTAAATAACAAAATCGATAAAAAATGACCGAAAATATTATTAGGCGCTACTGATTTTTTATTATTGGGTGTTTTATCGGATTTAGTAAAAATAACCAGAAATATTATTAGGCGCTACCTATTTTATTATTGTTAAGCACTTTTACTGAAAATATAAAAAAAATGATGTTTCAGATAAAACTAATAATATTTTCAATATTTTTTATCGATTTTTTTATTTAAACAATAACAAAATTAATAACGCTTTACATCGTAGAGCTTGACGTCCAAAATCCCAACACGTGTGAAACAATCACACAAAGAAAGAGTCGATTATTCAAAAGGTGGAGAGGCGCATGTTACCGACATGGATGCCAGGGAAACTGTGCCCATCAACATTGTGGGTCTCTTTGGGGCCCTCTTCTCGAGCGGTCTCCACTTGTGGTCAATTAGCCATCGCATTTTAGGTAGGGAATGGACCACTGCCTTACAAAAACCATGCCCTTTCTCTCACCTTCATATGTTTTTTTTACAAATATAACTTCGTTTATAACAAAAATTAATATTTCTTTAAATTATTGTTACTCTTAAACATATAGATATATTTAATATATCGGCTAAAATTAAAAATAAATCTTCAAATTATGTATTTTTTTGTTTTAAGTCGCTATATTATTTCTTTTGTCAAAATAAATCTTTAAACAATTATACGTAACCATTTTAAGTACTTAAATTATTTTTAATTAAAATAATTTGTTAAATTATGTTTGTGTTTTGCTTTAAGTCCATTAATTGTTTTTTTGTCAAAACAAATACATAATTTTATGTGATATGTCAACATTTTATTGGCCAAAAGAATTTTTTTTTCAAACTAAAAATGTGATAAGACATAAAATGATTATATATAATAGTTTAATGATTTATGTTGATTAAAAATAATTTAAACTTAAAATAAAAAGAGGCATAATTTAGATATTTATTTTTATTTAAAAGCTAATAATTTAAATCTTTGTCAAAAGTCGATATTTATTCTTTACTATAATAAAAAAAACTAATTATACCTTAGTTTCACAAGCTTAAAATTAATATTAGTGTATATTCTTATTTTATATTCTTAAAACAATAAACATGTTCTTAAAATTATTTATTTATTCTAGGATAGCCTGCCCTACATATCATATATTCAAGATTTAGATGCTTTATTTAGGGTTGTTGCATGGGAAGTCATATACATGTGTGTTTTGGCCAAGTGAATAGTAATTAAAGATCTAAACATTGTATTCAATATTGCGTTTTCATGTGATTGAGGGCAAGAGTTAGGGATGGGTTTAGAAATATCTTTTAGGGTATACATACATTTGTTAATAATATAAAACTTTTAAACGAAATGAACAAAAATAAAATTTTAGATGGACGTCATCAATTATATAAATAACTAACGGAATAAAATTCAAATTTTAAAATAGACACATTTACCCTTCGAATATATGCGAATCCACCATTGAAAAGAATAGTATAAAATCAAACTAAAGTTGAATTTTCTTGCAAGCAGGACTATCTTTAATGTTCTATCGGATAGTTCTTGGACTATTTTCGGCCACTATCTGACTGTGGAGCCCTGGTCTGGGATAGCTGGCCGATGGCAAGCCCGTAGAGATTTATGTGCGAATTGGGGTTCATTCCATAGGAGTTTTGTTTATTTTTTGCGCAATTGCTTGAAGATCATTGTGTTTATTCGATGTAGCTAACTTTTGTTGTTTTGGTTGGAATATATTGCAAATTCACAAAAAAAAAAAATCTTATCATTTGGTGTATTTGCAGTGGAATATTTTGAATTCTCAATGGAGTTAAGAAATAATCGAATATGTTTAACTAAACTAAAAGTAAAATAAATATATTATTTATAAACTTTGTTTTAAAAATTGAACATTGTATCAAATAAACAAGGAAAGTTTAAAGTTAAATTTATTGAGTGATTTTAATGATAAAAATGAATGCTTACGCATCTTTTGAACTCCAGACTACGAAATCTATAGAGATGAATGACTCTCTCTTTCATTATCGAAATCGTTCGATAAATTCTTTTTATTCATAAAATTTAAACTTAAGATATTATTTTATACATAAAATTCTTTACTACTAAACCTAATTATACCTCATACACAAGAGGCTAAAAATTATTTTTAGTGTATTTATTTTCTTTAAAAAAACCAAAACTACCTTTTTTTTTTTATTTTGCTTATTTATTTGTTGTAGGATAGCCTGCCCTACATATCCTATAATGCAAGGTTTAGATGCTTATTGTTTAGTATTTTAGAGTTGTTGCATGGGAAGTTCTACACATGTTTTTGGGCCAAATGAATGGTAATCAAATATTATATTCAATATTTGAGATTTTGCATGATTTCGAGTACCTAAGATTTTGGTTCCATGAAAAGCGCGTAGAAAAGAACAGTATAAAATTTAACCTAAAGTTGAACTTTGCTTTTGACTCATCAGCTGCTAATTCAAGGGAAGTCATATATCAACACAGCCCTTATCATTTGGTGTATTTACGGTGTAATATTTTGAATTCATAATTGAGTTGAAAAATAATCATATATTGTAAAAAAAATCATGGAAATTAGTAATTTGTTTAAAAACAGCAAAAAAGGAAAAAGAAAGAAGGGAAGCTAAAAGAACATTATAAAAGCTTCCACAAATGGCAAAGGCCACTGTTTTTTCTGTTTGGATAAGGAAAATAAAAAGGAGTAGTTTTATACTCTTACAAAAGAAAAAGAAAAAAAGAAAGGAAGGAAGTCATTGCAAATTTTGTTTCGTTGTTTGCATGTTACTTAATTACTTGCACAAGTGGTTCCTTCGTTTTCTTTCTTCTTCGCAGATAAGAATTAAAGCACCCAGAACCTAACACACAAAAAAACAAAGGAAAATATTCTTTCTTTAAACCATGGGTATTTTCTCTGATCAATATCCATATTTCAACTCTCGGTTTCTCAGCTTCCCTTGTAAAGTTCAAGTCACTGCATTCTGGTTGCTTCTATCAACTACTCAGCAAACCATTTACTGTTGAGGTTTGATATTGGTGTTTTCTTTTTTCTTTTTTTGGTTGTTGTGGCTTGTTTGATTGCTGAGAAAATACATATTTCTGGGTGTTCCTTTGATTATCTGGAGAATCATAAGGAAAAACAGAAAGCTCTATCTTTTGGTTTTTGCCTTTACTATAAAGGGAAATTTCAACTAACTTGAAGTTCTAGTAAGCTCTAGACTTCCATCTTTTACCTTCCAAGTTGCCACTAGCCCCAATGTTTACAAACATACTAAAAGATCGCAATTTCAACTTTCCCTTTCTTTCCCACTATCCTTTCTTGGCAGCCAAACAGCAGGTGATGGGGTATAGCCAGCTAAGCCTGAAGTGTTAAGAGTCTATCTGTTTACTAGTTGGTATTTCTTTAGCTCCTCTCAAATTTCCTAGTGGGGGAGGATATTTGAATTCTTATGACATAATGAATATTCTCTGTACAGCCTTTTAGAATTAAAGTTTTAATTTTTTTACTATTAATAAATTGTTAGATTCCCCACCTTTCTGAATCAGATTATGTCTTTTACTGGCTAACATTATTACTCTTGTTCAATGTGCTTTTAACCTTGTACTGCATCTGAAGCAATGTTCTGTCTTCTGTGACTATATGTATTTGTTTTCAAATGGACAGATTTTGGATCTACAACAAGTAAAACAACAACAAAAGTTTGTCTTTTTTTTGGTAGTGGTTATTGAATTCTAGAGGGCAATGAGGCAATTTTCCTCCATGTTGAATGGATTAGCAAGGTCATTGAGAGGGAAAAACTCCGGGAACGATGACAGACGAGAGGCTGCCGAGGCAATGGCGAAGGACGCGAAGAGAAACGACATGATTTTGAGGTCTTCGGGTTCGGTAAACGTCGATGGTTCGAATAATTTTGCCTCGGTTTTCTCCAAGAGAGGCAGGAAAGGAGTGAATCAGGATTGTGCCATTGTGTGGGAGGTAAAATGAAGTTTTTTTTTACTATGTAGATATGATTGTTTTGCCTTGTGAATATTACATCCTGTTTTCTTTTTGCTTGGGGATAGGAATTTGGATGTCAATCAGACATGTTGTTTTGTGGGATATTTGATGGGCATGGTCCCTGGGGTCATTTTGTAGCTAAAAAAGTTCGAGAATCAATGCCTTCATCCTTGCTCTGCAATTGGCAAGAGACTCTAGCTCAAGCATCGCTCGACCCGGATACTGATTTAGAATCCGATAAAAAGCTTAAGAGGTTTCATACATGGAAGCACTCTTATCTAAAGACTTGTGCCGCCGTTGATCGCAAGCTCGAGCAGCATAGGAAGATCGATTCCTTTTACAGTGGAACCACTGCGTTAACAATTGTCAGACAGGTACTCGGTTTAGTATTACTTGAACACTCGACTGCATTGGAGAACATTTACATGATCTTTGAGAATAAATCCACATTTACATTTGATAGGGTGACCTCATATATGTAGCCAACGTCGGTGATTCTCGGGCTGTTTTGGCTACAACATCAGACGATGGGGACTTGGTTCCCATTCAGCTTACCTTAGATTTCAAGCCGAACTTACCTCGTGAGTTCTTAGCCACTCTCTCTAAAAATGTTGAAAAACCCCGAAAGAGAAGACATTGAGATCCTTATGTTTTCAGTTGATGTTGCTTGCAGAGGAGGCCGAGCGGATAATTCAGTGCAAAGGCCGGGTTTTCTGCCTGCATGACGAGCCAGGGGTGCACAGGGTTTGGCTACCTGATGAGGAGTCACCGGGGCTGGCGATGTCAAGAGCTTTCGGGGACTACTGCATAAAAGATTACGGGCTTATTTCGGTTCCAGAAGTCACACAACGACATATAACCTGCAGAGACCAATTTGTTGTGCTTGCTACAGATGGGGTATGCACGTACACATACATATACAGAAGCTTTGATCGAAATCTACGAAATGGCAGTGCTTTTGATTTGTGAATGAATTTTGCCCTGCAGGTATGGGATGTTGTATCCAATGAGGAAGCGATTCGAATAGTGTCTTCGAGACCGGACAAGGCAAAGGCAGCTAAGCGGCTGGTCGAGTTTGCCGTCCAGGCTTGGAAAAGGAAGAGGAAGGGCATTGCAATAGATGATATTTCAGCCATCTGCCTCTTCTTCCACTCTTCTCCCTTGGAATGAAGTTGCTTTTGTTACAACTTCAACAGAGTTGTTAATGTAAATTGAGCGAAGATTATGGCTCTTACGTATTGTTTTTTTTCTTAGTTAAGCTTGTAAAATTACAATTAGTTGTTGCAACTTAGAAAGGTCATCAAATACCCCCGAGTGTTTAATCCAAACAGTAGTTTAAACAACTTCATTCCAATAATATAATAATTAAACAAGGAAAAGTCGGACAGGTGTATGATGCCATGAATCTGCCCCAGAAGTTTCTGTGACTCAAATATTTGGGGGTACAGTTGATGTTAGAGCAAAAGACGATGGGTATTTATGAAAATTAAACCCTAAACCTCCTCATTTTCATTCCTTTAAATCTTCATTGTCGTAAAGCTGCCATATTCTTTCTTCTTATCTTCACTGTGTGTTAACTTGTTTTGATGAGTTTTGCTTACCCAATTATTATTATTTCCTTAAAAAATCGATGATGGCGCGATGATGATAGATGTTTAATCCCAGCTCATTATGAGACCTTATCAAGGTCTGGGATAGATCAAAACCTATCTGAGCAATTCTCTCTCCTGTTCATGCTTCATATATTTCTCTCTTTTAGAAAATTTCCCTCACAAGTTTATGATTTCCTTCGTCAATCACGGATTTGAAATTTTCATATGCATCTAAACTGGTTTTATTTTGGCAAAGAAAAACAAAAGGAAGAGGAGACTGGTCGCTAAACCCAGATTGATTTGAAGTTTATATCTTGTTGTTGGACAACAGATTTTAGGTTTTATTCTTGTTTTAACAGGATTATTATAACATTTGTTTCAAAGCATCATTGACTAATTGAAAGGCTTGAATCTTGGAGTAGTTTGGATCCGGAGGAAACGTATGGTTCCCAAACTCCAGGGTCATCCAAAAAAAAAAAAAAAAAAAAAAAAACTTTTCTTCAAACACATGGTGTGCAACAGCCGTAGCATGCTGCTCTTTAGGGGTCTTAAAAAAACCGTAACCAATATAACCGTTATATTTAACATGTTAATTAATTGAATTGTTAATATTAAGCCATTTTAATTAACTAAATTATTAAAAATAATAATTAATGTTTAAGCTTATGGTTACAAATTTTAATAAATGTTGGTTAATCGTTAATAAATTAAATTTATAATTATATTTTTAATTTCTTATATTTTTACACAAATAATTTAATATAATTTTTTTATTTTATTTTTTTATTTCTTTAAAAATACATAAATATAATTACACTAGTATAATTATGTTAAGTGATATATTTTTTTATTCACTTATACCAGTTTAAGTGTGTTAAATGTTACATTTTTTGTAATATGAATTATGAAAAAAATTGATAAATAATTGTAATAGGTTAACCTGTAACCGAATCGTTAATAACGATTAATCGCTAACGGTTAACTTTTCTTAATGGTTAGGATAATAGAATGTGTGTTTATTATTATATGAATAAAGGTAATTTTGTAATTACTCGAAATCATTTAAAATAATATTATATATATAATGGTTTATAGAAATCAAGCCGGTTTTACTATAGGCATGGGCTTTAATTAGCCATCAATCAACAATAAGCAGGCCTACTAGTTCCGAAGCCCAAGGCCTGGCGAGATGCTTCATTGAATTGTGCGGCGAGTGGCTTGAACTTGGTGCTTGTAAGAATAGCTGGTGTGAAAATAGCAGCGCCCATCTTGACCAGCAAGCGCAAAATGGCGAAGGACAAAAGGAATGGAAAGCATAACTTGGTCAGGGGAAAAAGCATAAAACCAAGCTCATTTCATAACTCAAACGCCGTTTCCTTTCTTACTAAGCAAACGATCCTTTCATTATTTTCATATAAAATCTCACATCCTCAGTAAAAAAGAAAAGCCCACAAATACCCATACCAGCATCTTTCTCTCCCAAGAAAATGGCCTTTGCCAATTTTCTTTTTACAATTTTCTTACTGTTACCTTCATTCCAAGCTTCACCGGACGTTAACCAGAGCTTAAACAGTCAACCACTGGTATCACAAGCCTGTAGGGGCGTTGATAACAATTATCAATGCCTGTCGAATATTCAAACCGAGCTTCAAAACTCAGGGCCCCAAACCCCATCGTCGGTCTTGCATGCTGCATTGAGGACCACGCTTAACGAAGCAAGACGAGCCATTGACACCATGACGAGGTTCACTGGTTTGTCCGCGAGTTACCGCGAGCAGATGGCCATCGAGGATTGCAAGGAACTCCTCGATTTCTCTGTGTCCGAACTAGCCTGGTCTTTAGCCGAGATGAGAAAGATTCGTGACGGTGGTTCAAGTGCTGAATACGAAGGGAACCTCAAGGCTTGGTTAAGCGCTGCGTTGAGTAACCAAGATACGTGCCTCGAAGGCTTCGAGGGAACTGACCGACACCTCGAGAGCTTCATCCGAGGCAGCGTGAAACAAGTAACGCAACTCATCGGCAATGTTTTGGCATTGTACACTCAGTTGCATAGCTTGCCTTTCCCACCGCCTCGCCATATCACTTCCACCAAGAATGCGAGCTCTGAATTTCCGGAATGGATGACTGACGGCGATCAAGAGCTTCTCCGGACTCATTCGCGTCACATGCATGCGGATGCCGTCGTGTCATTAGATGGGAGTGGACGTTATTCGTCGATTACGGATGCCGTCGACGAAGCTCCAAGTCATACTAACAGGAGGTACGTCATTTATGTGAAGCAGGGTGTTTACAAGGAGAACATTGACATGAAGAAGAAGAAGACCAATATTATGCTTGTAGGAGATGGAATTGGACGAACTATTGTGACTGGGAACCGGAATTTCTTGCAAGGATGGACCACGTTTCGAACTGCAACCGTTGGTTCGTACCATACTAATTATCTTCAATTTAAACATTGAATTAGCAAAATTATACTCAACAATACTAAATGAAGTATTTCTTTTATAAGGCGAGATTCCATTTTTGAATGCACACGCTTCATGTAATATTCCTTGCAGCTGTTTCTGGAAAGGGATTCATAGCAAGAGACATAACGTTTCGAAACACGGCCGGACCGGAGAATCACCAGGCCGTCGCTCTCCGTGTGGATTCCGATCAATCGGCTTTCTTTCGATGCAGCATTGAAGGCTATCAGGACACCCTCTACATCCACTCCCTCCGCCAGTTCTACCGTGAATGCAACATTTACGGCACCATAGACTTCATCTTCGGCAATGGTGCAGCTGTTCTCCAGAACTGCAAGATATTCACTCGAGTGCCTTTACCGCTTCAGAAGGTGACCATCACCGCTCAGGGACGGAAAAACCCGAACCAGAACACGGGGTTTTCGATCCAGAACAGCTATATTCTAGCCACTCAACCGACTTATCTAGGGAGGCCGTGGAAGCCGTACTCGAGGACGGTTTTTCTGAACAGTTACATGAGTGGCCTGGTGCAGCCTAGAGGGTGGCTCGAGTGGTACGGAAACTTTGCCTTGAACACGCTCTGGTACGGCGAGTATATGAACTATGGCCCTGGTTCTTCGCTATCTGGACGGGTTAGATGGCCTGGCTACCACATTATCAGAGATGCTTCCACCGCAGGTTACTTCTCTGTTGGAAGGTTCCTTAACGGCCAGTCGTGGTTGCCGGCAACCGGAATCAAGTTCACCGAAGGACCGACCAATTAATTAAATGATTTTTTATTTATATCTATAGCGTCATATGCTAATTTTTCAGTGATAGTAATGATTGATTATATGTATTTTTATGTGATGTGAAGATCAGATATCTGGCAAGCTTCGTTACTAGTAGTTATTTGATTTTAGGTGTGGACAATGACAATAAGATTTCCACTTTGAGTTATATCAAACAATAAACTTTTAATACAAAATCATGTAATTAGGTTCAGTTTTTTTTTTTTCACCCAAAAATTAATTTCGTTTAACCATTTTTGCTAATTTAATGCCTAAAATCCATCGTCGTTTTGCATGTAGGTCTGAGTTAGGTCCGAGAATATTCGATAAGAATTTTCAATTACATAAACTTAATCATAAAATAATCTTCAACTAATATAATTATAATAAAATTTTGATTTAATTATCGATTAGAATTTGAGTTAATATCTAGCAATCTATTATTTGACATGAGTTCTATTAAAAATTTTGTATTCAAATCTTCAAAAACTTCAATTCATACGTAAACCAAATAATCAATGGTGGTTGCAAAGCACACTCATATTGAGCACGTGTCTATACTGGAATACAAATTATTTTATATTAGTTGTTTATTTTACCATTGATGTCCACTCTGACATTTTATTTATACCCACCACATAAGAAATATTTCAATAATTAATATGTGTGTGTCTACTCTAAAAAATATTTATGGATCCGTAACTGCAAATAGCCATGGAAGTTCACTCATCAAGTCTTAAACATCTTAAATACTTGCATAATATTTGATGAATTACCTTTAAATTGGTTAAGAACTACTCTTATACAATCAAAAACTAATTCTTCTTACAAGTATTTAGTACCACTAACAAAATATACACTAATAAATTCATAATATAATTTGTAGAGGTGAATTTGATTGTTAAGATTACAGAAGCGGCATAGTTAAAATTGGAAGAAAAAAAATTGAATAGTTAACTAACAAGAAACAAATGCACATGAATTAAGACATTATTCACCTAAATATTAAAATAATTAGTTGATAATCAATTCTTTTTCCAAGGGGTCATATTGGAACTAACAATCAATGGGAGGAGCCAAGTTTAATAAATACTAGGACTTGTACACTAAATTTGAAATATTTCATAAAGATTTGCAAGTTTCAAGTTTAAGTAAGGCAAGTCTTATCCAAATACAAATTTGAAAAATACTAACATTTAATATTATATAAATGAGAAACCATGTAAAAGCTAGCTGTGTAATTAAATCCTAGACGGATCAACAATGGTAATATCACTTCCAAATATGCAAAACAAGAAATAAATCATCAGTTGTGATTTTTCTTCTTTATTCAATTAAAACTTGCAAAGCATAAAAAATCAAATTAAAATAAATATATAGTATACTTTATACGTACTGTTAAAAGTCAAATAATTTAGGCACCAAATGGTGCTTTGTCAAAGTCAAAAATTAGGCACCTAATTTTTGTTGAAATTGGGTAATGAGATAATTAATTTTAGTCATTGTAATTTAGGGTATTTATAAGATTAGTCCTTAAGTTTCAACTATAAATACCCTAGCTCATTTAGCTTCAAAATCATCCCAATGCATTCTAGCTTTCTTCCAATACTAGAGAGATTTTAGAGAGTTTCTTGAGAGTTGTTTTCTCCTTTTTTATCTAGAGAGAATTATCATTGTTTTCTCCTTGGTAGATCGAGAGAGGTTGTAATTCCTATTTTCTCATAGTGAAATTCTTCTACCGTTGCCTGTGGTTTTTACCCTAAATTTTTAGGGGTTTTCCACGTAAATTTTGTGTCTCTTTTATCTTCATTTTTATTTTCTCAAATTATCAGTTGCGATTTTGCTCTATCCGATAGCCGTCTTCCGCAACAATTGGTATCCGAGCTATATTAGAGTGTGTAATATCTGCTTATTGTCTTTGTGGTTTCCACCAAAAGGTGGATCCTCCAACATAAGAAAGTAAGAAGTTATTACCCATTCTTTGAAGGTTCCAGAGAACTATTCACGATAGTGAAATAGTGGGAGCTATCCGTAAACGAAGCAATGGCAACGAAATTTGATATTGAAAAGTTCAATGGGAGAAATTTCTCATTGTGGAAATTGAAGATGAAGGCCATCATGAGGAAAGACGGTTGTCTAGCAGCTATCAGCGAAAGGCCAGTAGATTTCACAGACGATAACAAATGGATCGAAATGGACGGAAATGCTATGGAAAACTTTCATCTAGCATTAGCAGATGAAGTATTGTCAAGTATCGAGGAGAAGAAGACAGCTAAGGAGATATGGGATATTCTCACCAAACTGTACGAGGCCACATCGTTGCACAATAAAATTTTCCTTAAGAGAAAATTGTACACTCTCCGTATGCTAGAATCTACTTCAGTGACGGAGCACTTAAATACACTGAACATTTTATTTTCTCAGCTTACATCCTTAAGTTGTAAAATAGGAGAACAAGAACGTGCTGAACTTCTACTTTAAAGTCTACCGGATTCATATGATCAACTCATCATCAACTTGACAAACAGTAATGTCACCAGTCTAGTCTTCGATGACGTTGCAGCTGCTGTTCTACAAGAAGAAAATCGGCGCAAGAACAAGGAAGACAGACAAGTAAATCTGCAACAAGCAGAAGCATTGACAACGATGACAACGATGAGAGGGAGATCAACAGAACGTGGCCAAAGCAGCAGTCACAAACATGGTAGATCGAAGTCGAAAAGCAAGAAGAATTTAAAGTGTTACAACTGTGGAAAGAAGGGTCACTTGAAGAAGGATTATTGGAGTCTAAATAAAAACTCCAATCCACAAGGCAATACCGCAAACACTTCAGATGATGGAGATGCTCTATGCTGTGAAGCGTCAACCACCGTGGAAGGAAGAAAACGATTTCCAGATATATGGCTCATTGATTCGGGAGCAACATATCACATGACCTCAAGAAGAGAATGGTTACATCATTATGAACCTGTCTCAGGAGGATCTGTGTATAGTTGCAATGATCATGCCTTAGAGATCGTTGGCGTGGGAACTATCAAATTGAAGATGTATGATAGAACAATTAAAGTTGTTCGAGATGTGCGGCACGTGAAAGGTCTGAAGAAAAATTTATTATCCTACGGATTGTTGGATAATAATGCTAGCAAGATTGAAACACAGAAAGGAATCATGAAGGTGTTCCGTGGAGCGCTTGTGGTGCTGAAAGGTGAAAAGATAGCTGCAAACTTGTACGTGCTGAAGGGAGAGACATTGCTAGAAGCAGAAGCCTCTGTTGCCTCATGAAGTTCAGATTCTGCAATGCTATGGCATAAGAAACTTGGACACATGTCAGAACAAGGAATGAAAGTCCTTGTGGAGCAAAAGCTACTTCCAGGCTTAACAAATGTATCACTTGCTTTATGTGAGCATTGCATAACAAGTAAGCAGCACCGGTTGGAATTCAACACATCAAATTCTAGAGGCAAAAGTGTTCTAGAAATAGTTCACTCTGACGTATGGAAAGCACCAGTTACATCCCTAGGTGGAGCAAAATATTTTGTCTCATTTATTGATGACTACTCCAGGAGATGTTGGGTGTACCCTATTAAGAAGAAGTCCGATGTGTTTTCAACTTTCAAAAACTTCAAAGCGCGGGTGGAACTTGATTTTGGAAATAAAATCAAGTGTTTCAGAACAGATAATGGAGGAGAATACACAAGTGAAGAATTTGATGACTTTTGCAAGAAAGAAGGCATCAAAAGACAGTTCACAGTGGCGAACACTCCTCAATAAAATGGAGTGGCAGAGCGGATGAACAGAACCTTGTTAGAAATAACAAGAGCAATGTTGAGGGATGCAGGCCTAGAAAAATCATTCTGGGCAGCAGCAGTCAATACCGCCTGTTATTTGGTGAATCGAGCTCCATCAACTGCAATAGAGCTGAAGATACCAATGGAGATGTGGACTGGAAAACCATCTGATTATTCAAACCTCCATATATTTGGAAGTATAGTGTACGTGATGTACAACTCCCAAGAAATTTCAAAGTTGGATCCAAAATCCAGGAAATGCAAATTCTTGGGGTATGCTGATGGAGTAAAGGGGTATCGCTTGTGGGATCCCACTGCCCGCAAAGTGATCATTAGTAGAGATGTTATCTTTGTAGAAGATAAACTACAAAGAAAAGAAGACGATGATAGCGCTGAAAAGTCAGAGACTACTCAGATACATGTGGAAAAAGAGTTTGAAGAAGGAGATTCTTTTGAAGCAGAACCATCACATGATGAACAAGAACCAGAGAGTTCTGAAGCTCCAACAACTCGTCAATCAGATCGTGTGAGAAGACGTCCCAATTGGCACTCAGATTATGTTATAGAAGGTAATATTGCATACTGCCTTTTAACAAAGGACGGTGAGCCATCAACATACCAGGAGGCAATAAACAGCTCAGATGCTTCACTGTGGATGATGGCGATGCAAGAAGAAATCGAAGCCCTTCATAAAAATAATACATGGGACATTGTGCCACTACCACAACAAAGGAAGCCAATTGGTAACAAATGGGTCTTCAAAATCAAGCGAAATGGTGACGATCAAGTTGAGAGGTATCGTGCAAGACTGGTGGTCAAAGGATATGCTAAAAAAGAAGGTATTGATTTCAATGAAATATTTTCTCCTGTGGTTCGACTAACAACAGTTCGAGTAGTTTTGGCAATGTGTGCTACATTGAACTTACATCTAGAGCAACTAGATGTTAAAACAACTTTTCTTCATGGAAATCTTGAAGAAGAGATTTATATGCTCCAACCTGAAGGTTTTGAAGAAGACGAAAAGAAGAACTTGGTTTGCAGGTTGAACAAATCTCTGTACGGTCTAAAGCAGGCGCCGAGGTGTTGGTATAAGAGATTTGATTCCTTCATTATGTGCCTTGGATACAACAGACTTAATGCTGACCCTTGTGCTTATTTCAAGAGGTCTGGTGATAACGATTTTGTTATATTTCTGTTGTATGTGGATGACATGTTGATTGCAGGACCCAACAAAGATCATATTGAAGAATTGAAGGCACAACTGGCTAGGGAATTTGAAATGAAGGACTTGGGATCAGCAAACAAGATTCTAGGGATGCAAATTCACCGAGACAGAAGTAATAGGAAGATTTGGCTTTCACAAAAGAATTACTTGAAGAAAATCTTGTCACGATTTAGCATGCAAGATTGTAAGCCAATTTCTACCCCTCTTCCTATTGACTTCAAATTATCCTCCAGTATGAGTCCTAGCAGTGAAGAAGAGAGGATGGAGATGTCTCGAGTACCGTATGCATCAGCAGTTGGAGGTTTAATGTTCGCTATGATATGCACAAGACCAGACATTGCACAAGCAGTGGGAGTGGTTAGTCGATACATGGCGAATCTAGGCAAAGAGCATTGGAATACAGTAAAGAGGATCCTGAGATACATCAAAGGGACCTCAAATGTTGCATTATGTTATGGAGGATCAAACTTACTAATCAATGAGTATGTAGATTATGACTATGCAGGGGATTTGGATAAAAGCAAATCTACTACAGGATATGTGTTCAAAGTTGCTGGTGGAGCTGTAAGCTGGGTTTCAAAATTACAGTCAATTGTGGCTACATCCACAACAGAGGCAGAATATGTAGCAGCTACACAAGCCAGTAAAGAAGCAATTTGGTTGAAGATGTTATTGGAGAAGCTTGGGCACAATCAAGAGTATGTCTCTCTGTTTTGTGACAGTCAAAGTGCCTTGCATCTAGCAAGGAATCCAACATTTCATTCAAGGACAAAACACATACGAGTTCAGTACCATTTCATTCGTGAAAAGGTGGAAGAATGAACAGTAGATATGCAGAAGATCCATACCAAAGACAACATAGCAGATTTCATGACGAAGGCGATCAACGCTGATAAATTTACTTGGTGTCGATCCTCATGTGGCCTATCAGAAACGTAAGCAACATGAAGGTACAAGGTAGAAAGAATGGTGTGAAGATATGATTATTCCAATCAAAATATTCAAGTGGGAGATTGTTAAAAGTCAAATAATTTAGGCACCAAATTAGGCACCAAATGGTGCTTTGTCAAAGTCAAAAATTAGGCACCTAATTTTTGTTGAAATTGGGTAATGGGATAATTAATTTTAGTCATTGTAATTTAGGGTATTTATAAGATTATTCCTTAAGTTTCAACTATAAATACCCTAGCTCATTTAGCTTCAAAATCATCCCAAAACATTCTAGCTTTCTTCCAATACTAGAGAGATTTTAGAGAGTTTCTTGAGAGTTGTTTTCTCCTTTTTTATCTAGAGAGAATTATCATTGTTTTCTCCTTGGTAGATCGAGAGAGGTTGTAATTCCTATTTTCTCATAGTGAAATTCTTCTACCGTTGCCCGTGGTTTTTACCCTAAATTTTTAGGGATTTTCCACGTAAATTTTGTGTCTCTTTTATCTTCATTTTTATTTTCTCAAATTATCAGTTGCGATTTTGCTCTATCCGATAGCCGTCTTCCGCAACACGTACTACACATATTTATATATAAGAGTATTAGTTATTATTTTATATAAGGTATTGAAGATTATAAACTAATATTTATTTAAAATGTTTTAAATTTATTGAACATTTTATAGATATAATATCCAAATTATCTATAGAGAATAAAAATATCTTTTTACTACTTAATAGATTCTATAAATAAATAAGTTAAATTATTTAACTTAAATATAAATTATATAACTTAAGAAATGGTTTTTACTGTACATGAGTTTTCTCTTTTCTATAATATTCTATTGGGAAAATAGACGTATCTGAACCATTGTATTAAAGTTAATTAAGCAAGTATTATCTCATGCCTTGATTAAATTAATAAATTACATTTAAATGTATTTCTTTATGACACATAATAAAAGAAAAAAAAAACTAAATCCATGATATTATTTCAAATTACACGCCAAATTTGAAATTAAAAAAAAAGATGAAATTTCATTATTTTTTTACCTTCATATGGGAATGAAAGTTGTTAAATCTAATATTTATCATTATTAGAATGAAAACCCAGGGAAACCCTTAAATTTTATAACATAATCAAATATTTAAAGCTTAAGAGACAAATCAAGCCCGGAATTATCATCCTCCTCCTCCTCACTTTTTGGTATATGGAGATTGCTTGTCATCGATATTTTTGCTTTTCCAACGCTCGAAGCTGCAGCCATGGACATAGATGTAGCTGTCGAAACGCTGCTCTTCTGAGCCTGGAAACTATCCATCACGATGCCGCCATGGCCAAAATGATAACCGAGTGAGCTCCATTGATAACTCGGAACTGTTGCAGGCCTTTGAATCCATGCAGAAGAAGAAGAAGAAGAAGAAGAAGAAGAATCCATCCGTATCCCAAGAGACCTATTAAAAGATCCACACAAAAAGCCTTGAGACAGGCTCGAATACGAGTAATAAGGATATTGGCCATGACACAAAGGTCCCAAAACCCCTAAGTCGGTCTCTTTACGTCGCTTGGCGATCGCCCGTTCCTGTTTATGCGCGTTCTGATGCCCCCCCAACGCCTGAGACGTCGAGAACTCCTTGTTGCAGAAACCGCAGGTGAACGCCCTAGCTTTCGACGACTGCTGCTTCAACGACGAAGAAAGTTTGAGTTCAACCGATTCGTCCTCAGAGAACTTGTCATTCAGTGAAAGACGAAACCCTGATTTCGGATCGTTGGACGAGTGTTCGTGAGACCGTTGGACGTTAACAAACACTTCCTCTTCCTGTTTGGAGGCGGCGTCGGCCGTCGTGGTGTTTTCGCCTTTGCCGGAGTTGTTTTGAGTTTCATCCTCTGATGTGGCTGAGATGCTTGAAGCATCTGAAGAACTTGGTAGTTTGACACATAAGGTCTCCATGGAAAGATATTGAAAAAGATGAAAGATGTTTGTTCTATTTATTGATGGATTTGATTTACAAAGTGCATCTTTGTAATTTATGATGGAATATTGATAGAAGCAAATGCATCAAAGGGATATGAGACTAAAAGCTTTGTTTATATTTTTTAATCCAAAAAAAAATTGTTTACCATAAGAATTATGGCCAACTAATTAATTGATAAGTCAAAGATTAGAAGATATGGTAACAGTAAGTAATTAATTTGCTTTATTTAGTTACCAAAAATAAGAAATCGGTGCATTCTATATCATTTTAACTCCCAAATCCAGACATTAATAATAACGATCAAGTCAAAATACAGAAAATACAAGGAAGGTTGTGTAATATTTTATGTAAAGTCATAGAAACTATATATTTTATGTAATATTACTATACATACGTGAGAGTTCATGTAATAAAGTTCATCTAGTCTGGTAAGCAAAAAATAAATGTTCAAATTTAACAGATCTTTATTCCTTCTGATATTTAATCCTCCGTAAATGAAAACACAAATGTATAATCTTTAACGTAGAGGTGATTCATTCATACCACAATTGTTTAGATAGGCTTGGGTTATAATTGAGGCCTTTCATTAGTCTATGTAAGCCCAATAATAACCTGCAACGCTTACTTTGATATAACAGTTTTTAATAATTAAATATCTATAATAATTTGGTAAATGGGGCCATTATTAGGCTCAACAGGTCAACTCAAACATTATTTTGAGAAATACAATGCACGTCAAACTCGCCACACTTAATTGACGAGTTTGCTCATATATTATTTTTTAAACGGGTTCAAGTCAAACTCGTCACACTCAATTGACGAGTTTGCTCATATATTATTTTTTAAATGGGTTCAGGTATATGGCTCCCGTAGGACCTAATTGTTTGACGTTTTCTCAAAATATCACATATACCCTATAATATTTATTGTCACGTACCCTTAGATTATTTTTTTCGATCTAACACCATTTGCAGTAAGGCTTCCCCCTGTAGTACGCTTTACACTGATATGGTGTCACGTGGGGTAAGGCGCGCCCCTTGCAGTGCGTTTTACGTTGATCTGGTGCCACGTGGGGTATAAAGCGGCCCTGGGGCGCGCCTTACAACACGTAGGACCGCACTTTTCAATTATCACATGCTCAATTATTAGACATGCATAATGCAAGACGCGATGCAGAGACCGCGCCTTACATTATTTACCCCGAGCTCTCGGCTTTAAAGCATCAACTCTCAGCTATAAATAGCCCTCTCCCCGTAAACTCTCTCACAATTCCCTCTCAACCGAGAAATTAATACAACAATCCTTTCATTCAGTAAATAACACCTGACAGTCCTCTTATATTTAATTCAGAAGTTCATTCGATCTTTCGTTATAAAGTAACTTTGTTATAATATTTTTTTATTATACTTATTGTTTATTATGATTATTTGAAAAAATATTATAGTAATTGTTTTCAATTAATTTCTGTGCTAGTTCAAGGGGAAAGCGGGAGCATACGTCGAAATATTTTTGCGGTGCATGTAATAATATAAAATTATATTATTTAAATTATTCACGTTTATGTGTAAAAAATTTATTGTGTTATATTTTCGTTCATATATTATTTATTTAATCAGGTTTGTTTCAGTTGTTTTTTACAGATATAATATTGTCGCACTTTTAAACTCTAATAATTGCGCGACTTTCAGCTATTGTTTATTATGATGGAGAAATTCGAGAAGATGAAACCGTCATTGTTTTCGTATCAAATGAGCGTGTTAAAATATCATTCAAGAGAAACATAACTCTTGAGAAGCTGATAACGAAGATTTCGAGGAAGGTTCATATTGGAAGTAGTAGAAGAATGTCGTCGTTGCAATATAGATTTCCAACATCATTATTGTTATTAACTTATACAACGTTCAAACTATCGAACAATGATGATGTTGAAATGATGGCTGATTCTCAAAGTAATTATTTAGACGGCGATATTGAGATGTATGCAAAGTTTGTTTAAATGCGTGCTGATTGGGGTCAGTTATTAAGCTCTCACTATGGGTTGGCTAAACAAGTTGATAAAGTTGACAACCCGACTACAGTAATGTGTAATGATTTTAACGCCATAATGGGAAAACCGCATCATGTTGTTGTCACATCAACTTCAATGAGAGACATTCATCTGTAACTCCTTACGATACGTACCGAGGTGGGTCCACGAACAATCCATATGACAACATCGCGTCCAGTTCAAGGGAAAGGCATTCATCTGCAAATTTCTTTGACCTTAATATGGAGATGCCATCGACAAAACAATCTGTGCAATTTCCATTTGACACGATGGCTTCAAGCTCCAAGGGGAGGCATTTGACTGCGAGCTTTTTCGATCTCAATGTCGATATGCCTTCTAGTTCAAGGGAAAGGCGTGCAAGTAGTAGGTTCTTCGACCTAAATGTGGAGAGCATGGAGGAACCATCATCTCCACCAGAAGAACCGCTTCGTGAGCCTGGTGCGGATGGTGCTGAGATTGGATTATTCATTCACCCAGAATCACCGCAATGCAACTCCGATGATGATGATAATGTAGATGAAGTTCCATTAAATGTGGCACAAACTGACCCTCCAACACACATATATGAAGTTGATTATGGTGCAACATACGGGCCATAATTTGTGGATATGCCTCATCTCGGTAACTATGGATATTACTCATCAATAAATAATGGTGAGTTATCTTTAGGCATGGAGTTTTCAAGAAAAGAAGAAGTGATAATGGCTATAAAAAATTACAATATTCGTAATTCTGTTCAATAGAGAGTCGACCGCTCCACGACAGAAAAATATGTATGCTACTGTGCCCGACGCGAAAATGGATGCAATTGGATGGTTCGCGTATCGAAGAGGAAGAGGAAAAACAACATATGGGAACTAACAGTATATAACGGTCCTCACACATGTTGTGCAGGAGGGGTCAACCAAGATCATCCCAACTTGGACTCTGAAGGGATATGCCAAGCCACCATGCCCATGGTAAAATCAAGCTCTCATATAACTGTTGCTGTGTTGATTTCAACTATACAATCGCAGTATGGGTACATTGTCTCCTATAAAAAAGCTTGGTTGGCAAAATAAAATGACATTGTCAAACTTCATGGCAAATGGGATGCATCTTACAACGAATTTCCAGGCTGGTTTAGGCCGGTGTGGAGGTTGAATCCTGGGATAATTGTGGACTTCAAAACCTCCTATGCATACCATACTGATCGAATTCTTCGCGATCGATGCCAATTCTACCGGGTTTTTTAGACTTACCCACAGTGCGTTAATGCTGTCAAATATTGCAAGCCTGTGGTACAGATCGATGAGACTTTCTTGTATGGAAAATACAAGCAAGTTTTATTATTGGAAGTTGTCCAAGATGACAATCACAACATTCTTCCATTTGCTTTTGCTCTTGTTGAAGGAGAAGATACATATTCTTGGGCTTTTTTTCTCCGAAACTTACGTGCACATGTTATCACGAGGGGAAAATATGTGTCATTTTAGATCGCGGAGCTGGGATCAAAACAACAATGAAGTCTTTGGGTCCAATATGGTAACCACCCTTTGTCCAACATAGGTATTATCTCCGACACATTACTGTGAACTACCATGGAAGGTACAAGAAGAATGATGAGCGTCAATTAATTGTGTGTATGGGTAAATGAAACTGATGTAGTTTGTTTTCTTTCGATCATTTTAATTTTGCAAAGAAAGCATGTTAGTAAGTTATACATTTTTTGATCAGGTTACGAACTACTTCCTCAAACGTTTGAATAAATGCTTCAAGATTTGCGGGCCAAAAACGAGGAAGGATACGATTACATCAGCCTCATCGATAAAGAAATGTGGACGGACACATATGATGGTGGATATCGATATGGACACATGATGACCAACTTGGCTGAGGCAATCAATTCAACCTTAAAGGGTGCACGTCACTTACCTGTAGCGGCTTTGGTAAAAACTACATATTTTCGTTTGGGGGCGCTTTTTGCGAAGGTCGGGGGACAAGCTCAAACCTGGATGCAAGGCAGTCATGTCTATCACCCTAGATTAGTTGCAGATCTACAAAAAAAATTGTTGCATCAAATGGAATGTCTGTAACAAGCTTCTCTAGAAAACATGAAATGTTTCATGTCACAGAGTTGCCGTGACCTCTTCAAAGGATTGAAGTTGTGTCGTTAAGAGTAAATCTACGGGACAGAATGTGCGACTGCGGGTTTTTTTCAAGCTCTGAAGTATCCATGCTCTCATGTGATAGCAACTTGCTCGCATACACGTCAAGACTATAACTGTTTTGTGGATCCCGTATACCTACTATCTGAAGTTTTTAAGGTATACGAATTTGAGTTTCCCCTATAGGTAATGACAAAGACCCTGATGAGGATCATGATTGACTTTCGATTGTACCGTCGAAATGATTTTTTTAAAAGGTGAAAAAAGTGAGATTTTGAAAAACCACATTAATTTTTAATTTACCTTTTTCAATTGATTTTTAATTTAAAAAAACAAATGCGATTTAAAAACCTCTCGTTTCGAAAAATTTGAAATTCTCTTTTCGTTAAAAACATATTATTCAAAGAGTCGCCACCAATCTTTGATTAGGGTGTGATTGGGCACCAAAAAATATTTTGTTATTTTAAATAAAAAATAAAAAAAATTAATTTTAATTAAAACAACAAATTAAGGTCTACGTTACCAAAATCCAAGTTCGGGAGTTGGTTACGTGCGGGGAAGGATTAGCACCCCCACAACGCCCTAAAACGGTACCTAGTTGATTAATTAATGTCTTTGAATTGAACTTTACAATTCAAACTTAATTTGATTTTTGATCCCATAAAACAAAGATGTAAATTTTAAAACATTCAAAAGCACTCAAATGAATTAAATTAAAATTACCAAGTCGTTTTAGAAAGATAAAGAATGTTTGATTATTTACAAATATCGAGACCAGATC